TTGCTATTGCTATTGCTATTGTTGTTATTGTGGGGAAAATAGGAGGAGGAAGTTGTGTTGGATATGTTCACCATTTGGGATTGTTTATAAAAATGATAAAGACAGGAGACAAATAAACAAAACATTTCTCTTTGACGCAGGCACAAGGTAAACACGGACACATTGCATTTTCTTTTAAAAGTAACTTCTCTTCATTGTCCATATTTAAGAAAGTTATAGTGACCAGCGATGACTGAAATGGGATGATTACAGTATTTCAGAATAACAGAATAACAAAGTTGGAAGGGACCTTGGAGGTCTTCTAGTCCAACCCACTGCTCAGGAAGGAAACCATATGCCATTTCAGACAAATGGTTGTCCAATCTCTTTAAAATCTCCACCAACAGAGCATTCACAACTTCTGGAGGCAAGCTGTTCCACCGATTAAATGTTCTCCCTGTCAGGAAATTTCTCCTTATTTCTCGGTTGCTTCTCTCCTTGATTAGTTTCCATCCATCGCTTCTTGTCCCATCTTTAGCTGCTTTGAAGAATAGGTTTAGCCCCTCCTCTTTGGGGCAGCCCCTCAAATATTGGAAGACTGCTATCATGTCACCCCTGCAAAGAACTCCACTTAATAGAGTGATATTGTAAATTACTCATAGAAAGTCTATGAGTTTTCAATTCAGAACAAAGCCGGAAGGGACCTTGGAGGTCTTCTAGTCCAACCCCCTGCTCAGGCAGGAAACCCTGTATCATTCCAGAAAAGTGGCTATTCAATCACTTCTTAAAAACTTCCAGCCACAAGTTCTGGAGGCAAGTCATTCCAATGATTAATTGTTCTGTCAGGAAATTTCTCCTCAGTTCTAGGTTGCTTCTCTCCTTGATTAGTTTCCACCCATTGCTTCTTGTCCTGCCTTCAAGTGCTTTGGAGAATACACTATATTGCCGAAAGTATTCGCTCACAACCAAGTCTGATTATGTGGATGGGTGAGCGAATACTTTCGGCAATATAGTGTAGCTTGACTCCCTCTTCTTTGGGGCATCCCCGGAGATATTGGAACACTGCTATCATGTCACCCCAGGTCCTTCTTTACTTCAAATGACACCTTCCCATAACAATGACTTCTGTCCATGCCTAAAAATTATGTTTGTGTTGTGGCCAGGGGAGGAGGCCGCAGATTCGGACAGTGAGGAGGTTGGGGAGGAAAACTGGGCCAGTCCTGGAGTCTGGGGAAGGCTCTGATAGCAATAGCAGTTAGACTTATATACCGCTTCATAGGGCTTTCAGCCCTCTCTAAGCAGTTTTTACAGAGTCAGCATATTGCCCCCAACAATCCGGGTCCTCATTTTACCCACCTCGGAAGGATGGAAGGCTGAGTCAACCTTGAGCTNTCTGAAGGAAAATAACCAAGTTCAGAGTGCACAAAGGACCTCTAATCTCCTCTTCCTCCTCCTCTCCTTCTTCTCCCCCTCCTCCTCCTCCTCCCTCCTCCTCCCTTCAAGCACTGATGTTACGTAGTTGGGGCACGAAACGTCTGAAGGAAAATAACCAAGCTCAGAGAGCACAAATGACCCCTAATCTCCTCCTCTCCTTCTTCTCCCCCTCCCCCTTCCTCCTCCTCCCTTCTAGACTGATGATGTTACCTAGTTGGGTCACAAAATATCTCCAGCAAATCAACCAAGCTCAGAGAGCAGCGAGGAGCTAGCCATTTGCTAAACAGATAAAATCTGTGACAGGGTAGATTTTTATGGAAAACGTTTTAAGTTCCAAAGGTGGCTGCTTAAGGAGAATATCTACACCAGGCTTTCAAAATATCAACTATCCCAAAGGTTTATCTACCACCATTGCAGAACTATCGCTCAACTACAAGCTCACGTTGAAGATACTTACATCTGTGACGATGGGCACCCCGAGGTGTGCCATGTTGGTGATGATCTCGCTGTCCTCAGGTGGGATCTGCGCGTGCTGGATCAGTTTGTTCAGGTTCTCCTCGGTGATCCCTGGGGGAGGATGGGGAAAGACCATACATGCAAGTTCTAGGAGATGCAGTCAGCACCCATGCGCACTGACAAACAGCAGTTGTGCGGTCTTTGTCGTGCGTGACTCTCTACGCACTCCCTCCCGCTCGCAACCCGACAACAGACCCAGGGAAGAGGTGGAGTGGGAAGGTTTGGTTATGCAAAGAAGGCTTGGGAGGAATGCAAGAGCCAAGCCTAGAGTAGAATAACACAGTTGGAAGGCACCTTAGAGCAGTGGTCTCCAACCTTGGCAACTTTAAGACTTGTGGACTTCAACTCCCAGAGTTCCTCAGCCAGCAAAGCTGGCTCAGG